TGCACTGGATACCGCCGCTCGGTCTCGTTGAGCTTGCGGCTCTCGTAGGCCACCGGATGACCCTCCTGCATGAGTACTCCCCCAATAGCGAAGTCTGAAGCATCTGTATGGACTTCAAAAGGCTCTCCATAGTTCGGCAATTTAAGCACTGGTTCTTCCAGAATAGTAGCCTTCAGATCTTGGAATGCTATTTCACATTTGTCAGACCACTTCCAATGCTGCTCCTTCTTCAGTAACGTCGTCAGTGGAGTTGCACACTTCGAGTACCCCACTATGAAGCGTCGATAGTAGTTGACGAAACCAAGGAAGGATCTCAACTCTAGCACCTTCTTTGGAGTTCGTCATTCCGCAACCGCTTGCACTTTTGATTTGTCCATCCAAATAGAGCCATCACCGATTCGATGCACCAAGAATAAGATCTCCGTTTGGGCAAAGTAGCATTTCTCCCTTTTCACGAACAAAGTGTTCTCCGTGAGAACCTTGAAAAATGTCCGAAGGTGTTGGATATGCTCCTCAAGCGTTCGACTATAGACGATGATATCGTCTAAGTAGACGACCACGAACTTATCCAAATGCTCCTTGAATAGCTGGTTCATGAGAGTACAGAACGTGGCCGGAGCGTTGGTTAAGCCGAAAGGCATCACCAAGAACTCAAACGCTCCATACCTGGTCACACAGGTAGTCTTCGCTTCGTCGCCTTCAGCAATGCGCACCTGCCAATACCCCGACCGAAGGTCGAGTTTTGAGAAATACTTGGCTTTGCCCAACTGGTCGAACAAGTCCGCGATGAGCGAGATGGGATACTTGTTCTTCACTGTCACTTTGTTGAGGGCTCGGTAATCGACGCATAGTCGGAGGCTCCCATCTTGTTTCTTCTGGAAGAGAACTGGAGCTCCGAAAGGTGCTTTTGAGCTGCAGATGAGACCACCACTTAGCAGTTCACCTAACTGCTTTCTAAGTTCTGCCAACTCTGGCGGGGGCATGCAGTAGGGTGGTCTCGCTGGAGGATTCACTCCTGGCTCCAGCTCGATGTTGTGATCCACGCCTCTGCGTGGAGGCAGAGTCTTTGGCAACTCGGGTGGCATAACGTCAGAGAACTCTTTCAGGACGTTTGCCACCACAGCAGGTTCTTGAATGTCCTTCTCGTCGAGTGGCTCTAGCTTCATAGCAGCCACGAATGTTAATTCACCTTTTCGCACCCCTTTCTTCAGTTGCAATGCCGATATATGTTGGGGTTCCTTGGTTCCTCTCCGAGAGACGGGAACCACGCAGGGGTCGTCACCTCCCATCATACACAGGGAGTTTAGGAACGGCATTGGCACCAACTTCGCCGCATGCATGAACTTCATTCCAAGAATCACTTGCAAGTCGTCCAGTGGCACCGCCATCATGTTGGTGTTCCCGCTCCATGTTCCGATCTTGATGGGAACTCCCTTCGCCAACCCGGAGATTCACCTGGCCTCCGAGTTCACCGCCTTCATACGACTTGGGCTCTTCTCCAAGATCAACCCAAGTCGCTTTGCTTCTCGATCAGCTATGAAGTTGTGGGTAGCACCCGTGTCCACCATTGCACGGGTCGTTTGGCCATTTAGCTTGATGTCTACGTACATCAGCTCACCACTTCCTACTTTTTGTAGCTTTGTCTTCGTGTTCTCCCCCACTTGACCCCGCATGGCGTTTAACAAACGCATTGCTCCCATCCGGGGTCCTTGCGACTCCTCGTCGTCGCTGCTAGATTCAAAACTGCTCGAACTAAGAGCAACAGCTTTGCCCTTGTCCGATCGGGGAGGGGTGGATGGAAGCTGTTAAAGCATTAAGTGCCTGTTTTTGTGGGCACTCCCTCACCATGTGCGGCCCTCCGCACAAGAAGCATCCACCAGGTTTTGAGGCCTTGCCCTTCGGGCTTGGCCCTTTGTGGGAATTCTTCTTCTTTTGTTCGCCCCCGAGCTCCTTCCCTCGAGAATACTTTGGAGGGCGATTGCCTGAAGATTGTTTCCTTCTTCCCGGGTCTTCAGAGGAAACAAAGTCGGTGAGCCTTTCTGCAGCAGCAATTGCCCCGACCACATCAGTGACATTCCTTCGATTTAGTTCTTGTTGAGCCCACGACTTCAAACCATCGAGGAAGCTGAACAGCTTGTCCTTCTCGGACATGTCTTGTATGTCCAGCATTAATGCAAAAAATTATTTCACGTAGTCTCAGATGGAAGTATTTTGGCGGAGTTGTCTCAGCTTCCTTCTTGCGATGAACTCGGTGTTCTCCGGTAGGAACTGAGTTCTCAACTCCCGCTTCAACTCCTCTCATGTGTCAACTCGACACCGACCTTGTTGGATCTCTTCCCAACAAGTTCTCCACCAAAGTTTTGCATCTCCGTTCAGATACATTGTTGCTATAAAAACTTTGGTATCTTCAGAATCGGGCCTCGTAGCTCGAAAGTATTGTTCCATGTCGAACAGAAAATTCTCGAGCTCTTTGGCATCTCTGGCCCCTCCATAACCATGAGGCTCGGGTGCCCTCAAGTTTTGTGATGGTGCAACGCGGGTGTTGCTTCCTCCCGCATTTAGTGCTCTTGTGAGCATGGCCACCCTTGAAGTGAGTTCCGCCACAACCTCCTGCATGTGTTGCACGGAGTCTTTAGTGTCATCTGACAGTCGGTCGACTAGGGCCTCGACCTTGTCGATCCTGGACTCCACTTCCTCTTGCGAGCTCTCTACCCCAACAAGCCTTTGTTGGCCATGATAGAGTTCCTCCAAGCTCGCTTCAAGAACATCCAAGCGGGTTTCCGCTGTTGAGAGTCTTTCCTTGTGACTCTTTTTCCCAATTGGCGCTCCAAATTGCGCCTCCTCCGCTCGCGGAGAGTAGCCAACTTCTCGCTCATCATGTTCGCTGTCGCGCTCCTCTTGAGCGGCTCCAACAGCATGAGAGCGAGTGTGCACATGCAGCCCACCTGCGGCTGCTTGGGGCAAGGGTCCGGCTTGCCCCGTCTTGCTTGATTCGCCACGATGCTTTGCCATGGCGAAGTTGCGAAGTTCCTTCGCTGCTCGCTCGAAGTGCTTGCCCGCTCTGATACCACAATGTCACGGCCTTAGCTGGAATTGCCTAAGGGTGAGGCACCCTTGCGGCCAAAACGCGAACTTAGCTTGCCTTGCCTAAGTCGCGAGGCACCCTTGCGGCCAAGACGCGAACTTAGCTTGCGTTGCCTAAGTCACGCTTCGCCCTTGCGATATTGCTCCGCAAAGATCAGCCCACTTGTAACCTCTCGCAGGTCCCGAAGGACCTGTAAAAAGAGAAAGTTGATTAGTTCGAAAGAACAAGCAACGGACAAGTCCTGACGTCTCGCGAAAAGTGGAAGCTTTACAAGCAATTCAGCGAGCACCTTGCGTGCACAAGAGAAAAGAGGGAGAAGGGGAAAACAAGAACTTTAGAGGGTTGAACGAACAGCTGCAAGTCATAAACAGCTGCTCACCGGGTGCCGGGCGCGACAACAAGTTCCCGTCAAGGTAACGCGCGAACTTGCGAAAGGTTGTTCAACGCCCGACACTATACCAAAGCCTCATCCAGCCCGATGCCACCTGGGGGGTTCCAAGGGGCTGAGATGGCGGACGTTTTGGTGAGCGAAAGCGGACTGTAGAAAACAGCCCGTGACACACGAAAACGGCGCTGTTTTGGGGCTGTTTTGCTCGGTTCGGTGAGCGATCGCTTTGTAGCGTTGCAACTTGTTCGAACTTACATTTTTACAAGCAAAATGACTCAAAACCAAAACAAAACATGCTGCCAAGCAGCTGTACATGTAGATGAGAGTGACGAACGGTTTGTTGAACGGAGTTGTTACGGGTGCGCGACGACCGTTCGTGACAATGGGCTTCCCCATTACTGACTCATTGTCTTTTCTTTTGCTCCATAGAACACCACAGCTGATAGGCCATGGAAGCTTGCCAACCGATTAGGAATATCAACTTCTATTCTCCGCTCATGTTGAATTTTTTTGAAGAATTGACCAGATTCAGATATTAAAAAAGTGGTTAAAATTGCCATCTTTTCAAAATTCCTAATGATAATTCTAGTGCTAACCTGAGATTCCTTTATCCCTGTATAATTTTTAGCTAATTAAAAGTTCTCTACAACTACAAGTATGCACATAATCTCTGACACTAACGGAAAAGCACTTTAACTATGACACACTCCGAAAAAAAAAAAAGTATTTCTGATGAGCCAGCTCATTTTCATCATCTATTACCTTGCTTCCAAGGATTGAAAGCATATAGTGTTATTGCCCTACTGCCCGACATACTTCTTTGTGATACAACTGAACAGTGGGTGAGATGCAATTAAGTGTGGAGCATACCTGCGAGCCCTTCATTTCCAACTTGAATTTTGAGAGATTAGAATCTTGAATCATCTCACTCTGTGTTAAACATCACACAAAACAAAATGTCAACAAATGTGAAGTATAAAGCAACAAAACCTAATAATACTCGAGAAACATAAAAAGAGGTCAAGCTGTCACGACCCGAGCCTGATAAGTTAACTAGTCTATCAACTTCGTTTGGTCTAAACCACTGGCCAAAATGTTTAAGCTGAAATTGATAGTAGTACACTCATCAGGCCCATATAAGCCAATCATACTCATTGCCCACTTCCGATGTGGGACTAATGGTATGTTACAATATCCTCAACTCAATTAGCTTGACGTCCTCGTCAAGGCCCAACATAACCCAGATCAAACCCTAGCATAGTGCATGTGAGATTTAACTCAGTGGTGGCTCCACGTCGTGATGAGTTCTCTGACTCCATCCACGAGTAGTCCTTTCCTACTCGAGCCCTCTCACCCTACCCAAACGCTAGGTCGGCTCTAATACCAAATGTCACGACCCGAGTCTGATGAGCTAACTGGCCAATAACTCCATTTCGGTCCTTCAACCACGGATCAAAATGCTTAAGCGGGAGTTATCATAGTGCACTCATCAGACCCTTATAAGCCAATCTTAATCTTGTCCACTTTCGAATCACCCCCACTCAAAGGCTTGACGTCCTCGTCAAGGCCCAACATAACCCAGATCAGGCCCTAGCATAGTGCATGTGAGGCGTAGCCCAGTGGTGGCTCCACGCCGTGACGAGTCCTCTGACTCCGTTTAGGGGTAGCCCTTTCCTACTCAAGCCCCCTCACCATGCCCAAATGCTAGGTCGGCTCTGATACCATAAAAAGATGTCACATCCTAGATTTTTTTTTTCATATTTTTTCACACAATTAGGCCAAGTAGATAAACATCACTTTATTCATCATTCATAAACATTTATTACAATTTATTTATTCATCAAATCACAAATAGAAAAATAAACATAGTGATGTTAACTTCAAGAATCATCCAAGCGGTTCTACCTGACGGTAGAAAAAGATCCGCTCTCCATTGGAATCCGATTTAGTGCTAGAGGGAGGTTGCTCTGAAAATCAAAAACAAAAAAAATTCAGCAACGCTGAGTAGGAACCCTAAAAGTCAACTCAAAATAAATACATGATCAAAATTCAATCATCCCATTGGCGTATATCAAATACCCGAAGGAGCACTCCCCCAACAGCGAATGGAGAGGCTTTATCCTACGGGATGAGTTTGTGTTCTCCTGACAACGGATAGAGGCAAACTCATATTGCACTCCCAACAACTGATTGAGTGGTGTCCCACACCCGCCAAAGTGGGGACACGTTCCTCGCAACGGCAGATAGAGGAACCATCTAGCCGCCACGTCTGACGGCTCGCTAATCCCCGAAGGGAATCGTCCTACCTGCTCTCGGTAGGAAAATAACATAATCTCACACTAGTCATATCCATATCGGGATGAAATAACACATTTAAAACATCTCTTTCAAATATCATCAATATCAAATAATACAAATTAGTCCTCAATTGACTTGAACCTTAGTTCAATCGAGCTAATTGAACTCAATTTACTAGAACCTAACTGAACTGATCTCTAATCCTCATTTAACTGGTTTGGAACCACCCTAGACTAGTATAATTTGGACTAGATTAGGTTCATTTTAGGTTAAACTGACTTGAATAAGTCAATCAATTCAGAATCACCCTGAATCGATCTAGACTAATCAAACCTAGTTTAGTTCAATCAATATTTGGGCTCAAATCCAACAACAATATTGGGCCGGATTGGGCCAACCCATCTACTGGTCATGTGCATTACACATGACTAGGCATGCATCACACAAAGCTGGACCAGCCCTGGCCCATGGACTGGTCATGTGCATCGTATGTGACCACCCATGATGGTTGGGCTGGATTAGCCTACGAGCCAAGGCCTAACTCGTGGGTTGGGCCTGGTCTACTGATTGGGCTTGGCCAGTGGGCTATGGCCTAACCTATGGGTTGAGCTTGGCCTATAAGCAATTTCAATCCAATTAATATCCAATTTCATACCACAACATATATTCATTAACAATATAAACAAAACATAATAACGCATTAAAAGATAGATAAGGAGATAAGCTTTAATACAAGGAAATAACATTCTAAATTTGAATAAAAATCATAATATATTAAAAGATTGATCGAGAGATAAGCTTTAATACAAAGAAATAACATTTTAAATCCAAATAGAAATCATGCTTTCATAATTTCAACATATTATAGTCAATTAAATTTTAAATCACTCATAATAACACATTTTAAATTTCAGATTAAAGAATATAAAAAAAAAATGTAGATAACATATTTTAATCTAACAAAAATTTTAATCTAGATAAGATTAAAGATAAACTGTAATGTCAGAAAATATCATATAAAACATATAAATTTTTAACATGTTTAAATCTAAAATAAAAGTCTTAAGCAAGATCAAAGAACATTATAAAAACTTCAGTAAATTTTAATGTAACAATAAAAAAGTAACATTTAAAGAATTAATAAATATCTTTCAAACTACAAAATATTCAACATTTAAAGAATCAAAATAAAGACTAAAACTTTTATTTTCAAGGAAGGTAGGGAAACCTACCTCTCGTCAGCAGGGTGTAACTCCTCGTTCCTCCCGCTGTCAGGCTCGAGTAGGTGAGGAACGAAGGAGAGAAATCCCTCCCCTTAAATAGAAGGAGGTGAGCCTCCATTAAAGGAAATTTATTTTAATTTTCGTATTTATTTAATATAAATTATTTTCATTTAATATTTTAACAAATATGATATCACCCTATTTGGAATGATTAATAGTTATTTCCTAATTCGTATTAGCAAACAAGGAAATAGATTAAGATTTCCTTAAATTACAATGGCAAGTAAGGAAAAAATTAATTCCTAACTTCAATATTTGATGTGATTACATTTCTCCCCTATAGGAAATTTGATCCCCAAATTTAGCTCACTTTAATAGAATAGATGAGGATACTGCTCTCGCATATCTTCTTCTCTTTCCCACGTTGTCTCTTGGTCTGAATAGTGTTGCCAACAAATATTTACTAGAGGTATAATTTTATTTTTTAGAACATGTTCTTTCCTTTCTAGGATTTGGGTTGGTTGTTCTCCAAAAGTGGCATCATCTCTTAGTTGTAAAGGTTAGTAAGATATGACATATGATGGATCCCTGATATATCTTCGAAGCATAGACACATGGAATACATCATGGATGCTAACCAAAGTCGGGGGCAATGCCAATCTGTACGCCACAGGCCCGACCTTTTGTAAGATCTCAAATGGGCCAATGAATCTTAGGGCTAACTTCCCCCTTTGGCCAAACCTCATAACTCCCTTGGTTGGCGACACTTTTAAGAAGACATGCTCACCAACTTCGAACTCTAGATCTCTTCGCCTTCGATTTGCATAACTTTTCTGACGACTTTGAGCTGTTAATAATCTTTGGCGTATAATTCGAACATTATCAGCATCTTTCTGAATTAATTGAGGTCCCAAAAGCTTTCGTTCTCTTACCTCATCGCAATATACAGGTGATCTGCACTTTCTTTTATAAAGAGCTTCAAATGGAGCCATCTGTATGCTAGAGTGGTAACTATTATTATAGGAAAACTTAATTAGGTGCAAGTGCATATCCTAACTCCCACCAAAGTCCAAAGCATATGCTCTTAAGAGATCTTCAAGAGTTTGTATTGTCCTTTCAGATTGGCCATCAGTTTGGGGGTGAAAAGCTGTACTAAACTTTAACTGCGTGCCCAAATATTTTTGTAGACTTCCTCAAAATTTTGAGGTGAACCTTGGATCTCTATTTGAGATAATGCTAACTGGCACCCCATGATATCGAATAATTTCCTTAAATCGAATAATTTCCTTAATATATAAGCTTGCTAGTTTATCCAATGAATACTTCTTGTTAATAGGGAGGAAGTGAGCAGATTTAGTAAGTTTGTCTACTACTACCCAAATTCCGTCATATCCTTTCGCAGTCTTGGGTAATCCTGTCACAAAATCCATAGTGACTTGCTCCCACTTCCATTCAGGAATCGAAATCCTTTGCAATTTTTCCGCAAGTACTCGATGTTCTATCTTCACTTGTTGGCATATCAAACATTTAGAAACAAACTCTGCTATATCTCTCTTCATACCACGCCACCAGTAGTTTTGGCATAAATCTCGATACATTTTAGTAGTCCCGGGATGGATATTAAATTTTGATCTATGTGCCTCCTCCAATAATTGCATCTTTACTGGATGCCTTTCGGGAACACAAAGTCGAGTGTGGAATGTAATAGAACCATCTTCGACTTGGAGGAATTCAGGTCTAGATCCTTGAGCTATCTCATTAACTATCATCTGAAGATATGTATCTTCCTTCTGACATTCTTTAACCTTTTCTACCAAATATGATTGCGCCATCAGACACGTAAGAAAACCTTTATTTGTCTCCAATAAAAGTTTTAAGTTTTAAGTTTGTCAACTCCGTCATCATAGAATTCCTTTGAATATTCATGTAGGCTACAAGACTATAGGTATTTCTGCTTAAGGCATTAGCAACTACATTAGCCTTCCCAGGATGGTAGTTGATATTAAAATCATAATCCTTTAGAAAGTCCAACCATCTTGTTTGTCTCATATTTAAATCTTTCTGTGTGAAAATATATTTGAGACTCTTATGATCTGTGAAGATTTCAAAGTTTATCCATAGAGATAATGCCTCCAAATTTTCAGTGCAAAAATGATAGCTGCTACCTCTAAGTCATGAGTAGGATAGTTCTTCTCGTGAGGCTTTAATTGCCTAGATGCATAAGCAATTACCCTTTCGTTTTGCATCAGAACACAACCAAGCCCTTATAGTGAGGCGTCGCTATACACTACAAAACCTTCTCCTCCTGAAGGAATCACCGAGATAGGAGCACTAGTCAATTTCTTCAATTCTTGAAAACTTTGTTGACATTTATCATCCCACATGAACTTTATATTCTTTTGTGTCAACCTAGTCAATGGTGCTGCTATTTTTGAGAAGCCTTCTATGAATCTTCTATAGTATCCGGCCAAACCCAAGAAGCTTCTAATATCCGAAACATTAGAAGGCTGCTTCCATTTTAACACAGCTTCAATCTTGTGAGGGTCAACAGATATACCAACACTCGAAATTACATGACCGAAAAACATAATTTCATTGAGCCAGAAATTACACTTGCTTAATTTGGCATATAGTTTCTCTTGCCTTAGGACTTCTAGAACTGTCTTAAGATGGTGTTCATACTCTACTATGCTTTTGGTGTAGATCAAGATATCATCAATGAACGCAATTACAAATTTATCAAGATAAGGGTGGAACACCCTATTCATGAGATCCATTAAGGCAACCGGTGCATTTGTGAGTCCAAAGGACATTAGCAAGAATTCATAATGACCATATCTTGTTCTAAAAGCAGTTTTCTGTATGTCTCCTTCCTTTATCTTTAGTTGATGATACCCGGATCTCAAATCAATCTTCGAGTATACCTGAGTACCTTGATCAAATAAGTTATCTATTCAGGGAAGGGGATATTTATTCTTTATAGTCACTTGGTTGAGTTGTCTATAATCGATGCATAGTCGCATAGATCCATCTTTCTTCTTCACAAATAGGACAGGGGCACCCCAAGGTGATACACTAGGTCGAATAAAACCCTTGTCCAAAAGCTCTTGGATCTGTTTCTTTAACTCCTCCAACTCAATTAGTGTCATTCTATACAGAGGTTTAGAAATAGGTGCAGTGCTAGGTAGAAGATCAATTGTAAATTCAATCTGTCTATTTGGTAGCAATGCAAGTAGATCTTCAGGAAAAACATTTGGAAAATCCCGTACAATGGGGATGTCCTTTAATACTGGTTTCTTATATTCTTCTCTAGAAATGAAGGCCAAGTATCCCTGACATCCCTTTAGTAATAGTTGGATAGCACTCAAGGCTGAAATAATAGAAGGAAACTTTTCTTGAATCCCAATGAACTTAAAAGATGGTTGATCTAGGGGTGAGAAAATAACAATCTTTCGGAAACAATCGACACTTGCATGGTATGCTGAAAGCCAGTCCATACCCAAGATAGCATCGAAATCTTGAAATTCTAGTAGAATAAGATCTACTAGCAAATCGAGACTTTCAATAGTAATAACGTAGTTTCTATATATCTGATCAACTATCAAAGAGTTTCCAACTGGTGTTACTACCATTAATGCATTACTCATTGTCTTACGATTCCTATGCAGTTTCATAGCAAAATATGACGATATAAAAGAATGCGTAGAACCAGAATCTATAAGCACAGATGCTGGCATACCACAGAGTGTGATGATACCTTTAATAATAGATCCCGAGGCTTCAGCATCTTGATGAGTCAGTGCGTAGACTCTTGCCTGTCCTCCCTCTCTGGGTCCTCGTTGTTGCTGTCCAGCTATTTGGAGTGGAGCTCAATGTTGATGTTACTTCCGAGGGCAGTCCTTCGACACGTGCCCCGGTTGTTGACAATAAAAACCTACACGTTGTCCCATGGGGCATGAGATGGAAACATGATCTGTCTTCCCACAGAAATAGCATCTTATGACGACTTGATTGCTAGGAGCTCCTGCTTGTTGATGCCCAAACTGTTTGCCTTTTCCTTTCTTTAAGGGTCCAGAATTTGATCCCCTATACGCAGATAGTGCAACATTAAAAAGTCGCTTTCGATCCTTTGCTTATTGTAGTTCATTATCCAATTTCTCCGCCACCAGAGCTCAATTTAACACTTCAGCATATGTTGGTAAAATTAGTACTGCAACGGACTTTCTAATTGATGATCGAAGTCCCCTCTCAAAATGACGAGCTCTTTGACTTTCATTAAAAGCAATATATGGAGAGAACTGGGCCAACTCAGTAAAATAATGATCATATTCCATTACAGTTCTACTTCCTTAGTGGATGCTAAGGAACTCTTGTTGCTTCTCAAAGCGAACTTAATCAGGAAAGAACTGCTCATAAAATGCATCTTTAAACTACTCACAAGTTACCACATTACCTTCAGCCTCTAACATCCTCCTTTTTTAGGTCCACCAAGTGTTTGCCTTCTCTTCCAAAATGAAAGAAGCGAAAGGCATTTTCTGATTTTCCCTACATTCGATAGCTTCGAATGTCTTAGGTATTATTTATATCCCGTGGAATTTCATCTCGCTCCTCCTGACGTTCAAAGTATCCTTTAATAGCATTGAGGACTACATGTACGTCATTTTGGGCATTGACGGGTGCTGGGGCATGAGGTGCATTCTGTGAAGTCAGAGAAGCTGGCCCATAATCAATGACAGGTGTACGTGAGGACTGGGTTTGCTCTACGAGCAGCGACATGAGCACCCCGAGTGGCAGGACCACTAATCTCTGGAATTGGCTCCATTACTCCTATAATAGGTTAAAGACAATCATTGATTAAAGTCAATCAAAGGACCTAATACACCTACAAGCCCTAAACCAGCCAATCATACTTATTGCCCACTTCCAATGTGTTATGGTAGCCTTTTCCTATTCGAGCCCTCTCACGCTACCCAAATGTTAGGTCGATTTTGATACCAAATGTCACGACCCGAGTCCGATGAGCTAATTGGCCAATAACTCTATTTTGGTCCTTCAATCACCGACCAAAATATTTAAGCTAAAGTTATCGTATTATACTCATCGGACCCATATAAACCAATCATAGTCATTGCCCACTTCCGATGTGGGACTAATGGGAAGTTACACAAACCCTCTGCATCTCAGGCTTGGACACAAAGGACTGGGCGACATTCTCCAAGCTCTCATTCAAAACCTCCGTGATGGTCGATGTGATGGCCTCCGCTTGCTTCGTCGGGACGCCTTCCTTCTCCAACCTCCTGACCTACACAAGCAAAAACACAAACACCTGTAGCGCAACCAAGACCCGCTCCCATCAATTCAACACCGACAAGGTAGCGCCGTACCAGAGCGAGCGTGTCGATAAGGCAAGCCCTACTCCCGTTGCTCTTAGCGAGTTGCGAAGAGAAGCGCTGCAGCAGCGACAAATTGGACCGAGGGCACCCGACTTCCGCCGCCGGCAGCCGCATCAGCGACCTGCAACGAAACCCTAACGCGGCGGCGCCTCTACTGCAGGCGATAGCCGCGGCAGACATCTGGATCGCGAAGTGAGAACTCGTCGGTCCGATTCGAGATCGACGGGGATGAAAACGAAAAAAGGAATGATTTTGTCGCGTCCGCTATCGACGCCTTTCTTCTTCCCGTTGCTTAGGCCGCGAAGAGAAGGGTTTGATTTGGCTTCGAGTCCCCCTTGGCGTGGTCGCACGTGTAAGATATCAAGTAGGATTTAGGTTATCAGCATCCTCCGATTAAGGAACCCATATCCCCATTGGCCCGACCTCCACTTACACATACAAAACAAGTTAAGGAAATTTGTGGTTTCTGAGTGGATAAGACCAACGCAATGCACTAAAGTGACCTGGAAGTGTCAGATGACAGTAGAAAGCAAGTCTTTGCACGATTTGTTTGGAGAACAACAAGACAAACGTGACTAGGAAGTATCAGATGACAAGGATCACTAGCTAAAATGTACTTTGGCTCACATACATAACCTTCACAAATCTGGATAATATAATGCGCAAGTAAAAAAGCCAGCTGTAGAAGAAGCAATTGCCCAAAGCAAAACAAATATCACTGATAACCAATATAAGCAAAAGTGCTCAAACCATCTTTGACTATTAAGGACTGAAAATTAATTCCATGTGTTTGAGTTGAAACATCTGTTATTGTGCTAATAAACATAATATGCTTTGTTCTTTTATTTCATCACGTATGGAAGCTTCTGATTTCTCTCATCCTATTTGAGCTTGCTTTCCTATTTACATGTTTATTCTCTTTTATGCATACTCCTCAAATAATGACATTTACAATATAATCAAAACACACTCAATTGCATAGAATCTCCAAACTTGATTCCAGAGAAGACAATAGGTTTAGTGGACACCAAACTCCTTAGGAATGATGAGGATTAAATAATCTGATTCATATAGGTCCAATTCTAACCCTACATACTATGATCTACATGTACCTGACAAAATGAAAGCAAATGAGAAACTTAAAAGGCTTCAGCGAAGAAAAGAAAATTGATTACTTTGGTAAATCAATAAAAATCTGCTACGGGAACGGGTGTAGAAAGTTCGTTAGCATCCATGTGAAATTTATTGCAGATATTGGCAGACAGAAGAACTTCAACTGCTGGTCATATTCCTGCAAATGTTAACAAGGAAGATGATGGACCATAAATGATCTTTTGGAAGTTCTATTTTATTTAAAACAAGGATGGATGTCAATCTGTGTTTCCAGCTACATTGGATCATAAGGCCAATTTCTTGACAACTTTGCTATATTTTATCATCGG